TATTAAACCCATATTTTTGTACCAGCTGTAGTCGGTTCTTGAACATTAACATTTTCTTATCTTTTATACAGGGTGTCCCCTAACTCTCTGGACACATGTATATAGCGTTATTGCTATATAGATCAATACAAACGAATTTCACCATAGGAACATGGGTCTGTGGTGACTAGTTTTCCGTCCGTCTGTATTTATGTGTTTTTTTTTTTACAAACTTAGTTTAACTTAGTTAATTGAAGCAAAAACAAAAATACGTGTAGGCCTTAGACATTACATTTCCATGTTAAATTTGTAGCCAATTTTTTTTTATCGTAGTTGATCTGAGCCACCTACAGATTGCGCTGATCTAAATCACTAATTTCTGTCAAATACACAAACTTTTTTACCAAGCCTAACTTAGAGAATGACTTATGATGAGTTATAGCAACTGTTATGACCCATCAACCTGGTCAGCAACAAAAATAAGATATAAAATAGAATTTTAGACACTAGAGCATTCTGTGACTGGCTCACACAACTACGTTCTTTTTTAATAAAAATGTTGCTACAGCTGTTCCATAAGTCTATCCAATAATGCTTATAGGTTCTATTGATTACCTCTTGCACAAATCAAACACCTCGAGCAATGCTCGGTCCCCTGGTACTTGTAATTCATACACACATAGCTTGCATATAAAAAATAAAGATAAAGTGATTTGGTTTTATCAATTAACTATTCATAAAACCATAGATATAAACCATATATATGGTTTTCTAAGTTAAGATCTAAACATTTATTCCATTTGAGTAGCTCAAAACTACCCAGCATAGTTTAAATGTTAATTGTTCTACCTTCCAGTGAAGACCATTTGCATTTGACAGGGAATGTATTAAAATGCAAATAAGATTTATGTTCCGTTCTGAAAGTGAGGCACAAACTAAATATTCTCAACTGCGTTCACTCGTGGCTTACACATTAATTAATCCTATAAAATGTGTGGGTGGATAATATAAATAATAACTGCACTAAAATGTTTAGTTATTTTTAAATGAATAACTGTTTAATTGATTTGACCTTTAAAAACGAAATGTGTAGGTGGTTAAAATGTAGATTTTAATTTTGTACCATAATAAAATATGGCTTAGTATTTTTTAACTGTATATTTCAGCTTGTAGTTGAATAATAATTGTTGGCGTTAACATAATTTCTATCATTCACATTACCTACCTATTTTTGTTGAAATATTCAAGCAATATTATTTGTATATTTTGGTGCTGTGTTTGTTGTACAATTGACAATAAGTTGTCAATAATTTAAAATAATAATATAATTATCTTATTAAGTAATATACTGACAATATTACTTCTTTTTTTATAAAAAGTCTAATCCCTTTTTAATGTGTTTCCTTGTGCTCCGTTGAATTTATATTGTTATAGCTTTTTAGAAAATAATTTTGAGAATATTTGGTCCACAACATTCGGATTAAACAAAGCATAATTTGAATATTTCGAGAAGGTATGAAATTTTAGATTAGGCCCTATTCTATTACCAATGTTCCGAATATAATATGAACATTTATAAAATAAAATACCGTAATACATTATGTAGTATAAGTGTGACAGATTAGACGCGTGGTTGTGTTTAATGCTATTCAATGGCCTTCTATCAGTCATCTTAATAATTATGTGATAAGAGCTAAGCTTCAATGAATCACCGTTGATCCAATCACTCTGTACAATCATTTTATACTTAAAACGTAAATAAATTTTAAGCTGCTACTCAAATACAGGGTGTCCCGTATGCAAACAGCCAAAGGGAAATGGTTCTACGGGTCAAAATAAAGAGAAAATCTAGAATAAAAGTTTTCCCCCAGACGTTTTTTTAATGGCTTACTGGATATTTAAAATGGCTAAATAAAAGTGTTTTTAACATTCTTTCATAAAATCAGCCATTTCGAATTATCCCTCTATAGTGAGATATGAAGAATTTTTTTGATCGTTATGCATGTAAGGTTTTAAGTAAGTGTTCCAATTTAGTCTAAATTAATTTATACAATAAATAATTCTGAGCAAAATTTATAGCATGTAAGCTGCCCCTTGATTATAATTATTCCTTGCAAGCATTAGGTAAAAGGAAGAAGCAAAATAATATTTTTATCTGTTTGATTTTTATAGTCTTGCAGTATTTGTAAACATAGTTTTATTTTGTTGAGTAAACTTACTGAACACTTGATGGATAGAAAATACAACCCAAAGAATAACAAACAATGGTGATTTGGAGGTTTGAATGTCCCTCACCAAAGAACACCAACAAAGAAAACTGCGGGTTTCTGGTTTTTATTTCATGTGTTTTCTTTACCAATGGCATTTTTACGTTTTGAAAGGGAACGGTTCAAACCCCAGTCTTGTTACTCGTACTATCTACAGTGCGTTCAAACAGCCGTGGCATCTGACGGATTAGGAGACCCCATGGAAACCCTTGGGGTCTCCTAATATCTCAGGTGCCATGGCTGTTTGAACGCACTAACGTCAACCTTTTATCTAGTTTTTCTATAAGGAAGAACCTAATTGTTAGATAGCATCATGGTCTGGAAACGACTTAGCTTGGAATCGAACCAGCGACCTTCATATTTGATGGTAAGCACTACTCGGATATCCAGTCAAGTAATGTATTGTGATTTGTATATACATACAATTTATGTTGTAAATACGAAAACTTGGACATTATGAGTATCCTCGATCATCTAAATATTTTCAATCCACTACAATCCGGATAACATTTTCAGCATGTACAGTTAGTACACAAAAAGAGAAAAATAAAACAAACAACACAGTTGCAAAATCAGTTTCGTAGGATGACTCGGCTGAAATCAGAGACATGTCTTGATGTCTTGACAACAAACGATTGTGTGTGTGGGTTTGACCTTTTGACCTTGGCGGTATTTGCTACTGGACAAACTAGACAGTTATTGTCCAATTCACTTATTTCCACTCGTTCATTAACACAAGTTAAACTGCAGTTCATTAACACTTAACCCACCTCTGTTGTAGTTGTGTATCAGTGTACTATACTACTGTGACTCTCTATAGTGGAGTTGGTTTAACTTTGTGTTGAATGGTTGCTAAATGCACATACTGTAGTATTTGATTCGCTTTTGATGGTACATGGTGTGAAGTGCGATTTAGTGTTTGATTGGTTGTAACGTCACCAAGTTAGGCAAGTTAGGTTAGTTTATCAGCATTACACGATAAAAAATTGACTATAGGCACACTATTTAGGTAGAGATTATAAAATTTGTTTACGCAAAACAAATAATTACAACTACCTTGAGATTACTTTTTACAACTAATTTTAACGACAAAACCAACCTGAACCTGTATGTTGGTATTCCGGTTTTCTTTACTTCATTGTCGATCAGCTGATATGTAATGTTGCATTGATGTTTACGAGGTTTAATGTTTTGGGGAATTTATTGTAAATATGAATCAACATGGTGTTTTCCCAAGCTCGAAGATTGTGTTAAAAGTAAATCATTGGTTTTATGCCAAAAAAGGTTTGAAATTAAATTTACTTTTAATTTAAGAAAACCGAATCCGTTGTAAAAAAAAAAACCTAGACCTACAATATCTACTCTATTTGAGCTTGAGTTACTCCATGTTGTGAGTTAAATACAATCAATTCTCAATAACACTAAAAATCATAGATAACTATGCAACAATGCATATCAGCTGATCTGCATTGAAGTAAAGAAAACAGAGATACCAACATATAATTTTGTTTTGTCGTTGATTGCAGTGGCAAACAGTACTTGCAATATTTGGGTTGTGTTAAAAATAACATCCTGTATACCCATGTTGGACCAATTGTATTCTGTAAAAAAAAACTGGTTGAATTAAAACTCCAAGTTGATATCGGAGTAAGGTCTAAATACTTACTCTCGTTTCCAACGCTTAGGTAGAATTGATTATTGAAACCACATAGGTACAAAACAAGATTCGTGACTGGTGGGAATTGAACCCAAGCCTTCAGGCAAGAAGTCCTGCCTTCTAACCATCGGGCCAGGTGGGTCTGTTGTACTGGTTTGTTTCAATCTATCCTATGTCGTACAAGCACAATACATTGTCTATTTATAATAGGATATCAGCTGTTACTGTTCTCTGTGTTTTCAATGGATATATCTTTATCAGGCCATGTAGAGTTGTCTTGAATATCTCAAAGTGCATCTAATAAAGATGTCAAAGACTTTAGGCGGATTTGTGACGTAGATCCAGTCAGCTGATTAAATAAATTTAATAAATAATCTTAGTTGTCATAACTGTATGTATTGTCCACCTTTGTATTGCTGCTACTTATGCTATGTAATTGTATGTCATGTTTCTTATAGGCTGATTTTACAACAGCTAACACGTTGCTTACCAACCGTCACACTTCTCTGTTCGAAAGGCCTTGCGTCACCTGTAGTGAATCAGGAGGTCATGATTCCAATGACGATGAAACCAAACACAATTATGAACTTTGGTTGATGTCAAATATCTTTTACGCTAACTGTTTTAACGAACTTCCCACGCAAGGATTTAGTTCAGAAAACATCTGTTTGCCACCAGCTTAATCAATTGGGGTTTCATTACGTACTACTGTACTGTAATGAGTTTTCCCTGGACACCAACCAGCTGATTATATTTGGCAATGAGTGGTTATAAACAAAAAAGCATAACCTCTCTTAGAGTTATCCTGTATAAGGATTTTTACAGTTTTTCTATTGTTAAGTTAGCTTAAAGTAGTATGGCGTAAAATATCGTACGTGTGTAACTCGTCCAAAATGTGTTTACCGGACTCGTATGGTATTCCCGCTCTCGACTTCGTCTTGCACGGGAACAACCATACTCGTCCGGTAGACACATATTTTCCGGACTAGTAACGTAATATACTATTACCGCTATTACCATTGACTTTTTATGATAACACTTATACAAACTGAAACAAGTTTAACTCAGGACAAGGAATGGAAGAATAAGTGCGTGCATTCATCTATAAGTTTATTATTACATTATGTATTTTACATCTATAAAAATAATCACACTACTATCTTTAAGAATAAATTGCTATTCGTGACACCAAAGATAATAAAAAAAGAATCAGCTTTCGTCTAACAATCACATGAGGGGTTACAGGGCGCTACGATAATTAGAAAATTTCGATTGGCTCGAGAAAGATTTGAGAGAAATAAAATAAAACTAATTTCTATATTTACAAATAAATAATCACGTTTTTGTTACAAAACACCGATTTTACTGTGCACATGCATCAAAGAGAACACAACGTGAAAATGTCCTCATTTTTTGAAAGGGTCTTATAGTGACCACACTCTTAAGATCATTTTGATTAACAATGTGTAAAATTAATGTAATATGCTTTTAAATACCCCCTTCCCCGAGTCGACATTTTTACACATGAAAAAGGATAATACATGAATTACTGGAAAATAAGTGAATTAATATTTTGGGGCACTAAACAAGACTAACTTAGTCAAACTGTAAATTTGGCTGCACTTTACACTGTCATACACTCATTTGAATGAAAATATCGATCGATATATCGATTATTCGATAAGTTATATCGTTTGGTTAGTTAGGTAAGGTTAACCTAACCTAATTAACCAAACGATATATCGAATGAAACAATCGAATAATCGATATTTTCATTCGAATGAGTGTAGGACGTAAAGTGCAGCCGTATTTTTTTCAAGATTTCAAGGATGAGATGATACAATTTTGTTCAAGAAAAGGACAGTACACATAACAATCACCTTTTTAAGGTAGTACGATAGTAAACATTATTTAGAAAACAGAAAAAAGTATTGTGATCTTAAGAGTGGGATCAAAAAGGTCCCGATTAAGCTCATTCACAACAAAATATCGACAGTTAGTTTAAAAAGGTGAACAACAACATTGCAAATAGAGCTGGAGTGAAGGTAGCGCAGGGCTAGCTTATACAGTCAGGGGCTGTGGGACTTCACGCCGTCGTCGTCCAGGACCCCCGGCGTAGTTGGCGGCGGCTAGGCCCATCAGGTGTTTGGCTGCCTGGGACCCAGAGAACCCACGGGACAGACCCAGGTCTAGACCACGCTTGGAGCTGTAACAAAACAGAAGAGGTTAGAATATACAGAAATGTCCTTCACATCCTAGGACGCTAGGATTCTAGGGATTGTTTTACACATTACATCAGACTAGTGCAAAAGGGTTGCGGCATTATCTTGGATAAAGTCAATTGGTGATTGGTGGGATTTGAACCCAGGACCTCGGGCTTTGAAGCCCCGATCTCTTCTACTGTACCAGCTCGCTCTCCTAGAATAGACAGTGTGAGTCAAGACGTTCTGATAGGCAATCTTGGGGTAGACTTCCGTATCTTTTGTCAAAAACAACCGATTGAAAATATCGAATATTTTTATTCGATTGTTTCATTTGATATATCGGTTGGTTAGTTAGATTGACCTAACCTAACTAACCAAACGATATACCGAATAAAATAATCGATATATCGATCGATATTTTAATTCGGTTGTTTTTGACAACAGATACGGAAGTGTACCCAAATCTTGTGAAAGGTTACGTAATACCATCGGTTCCTCGAAGGGAACAAACGTATGGAAGGCGTCGTCCTAAAACCACTGTAGGTTTCAGCCCTCAGGAAATTCACGATCGCGTCACATCAAGATGGACAGCTTGTACAGAAAAATCCAACGCTAGAGACACCACAATAAACTGTAGAAAGTAGAAGCTAATAAATTATTGCATACATCTTCCAACACGTCTGTGTTTAAGGGTTTTGCCAGAGGCAGGGAACATATTTCAGATTCCGATATAGTGATGGGAAATTACCAATGTAATATCTTAAATTACATAACCTCACACACACCAAAACTTTAAACAAGAAACAGAAAATAGGCAATCATAGTTTGTGAAATTTAATAGTAAAATAATCTACAACCTACATGGTTGGATACGAAATATCAAATGATTGCCGTACAATAGTCAAACTTTTTAGCTCGTTGAGATGTTCGTATGAAGTTAAGACAAAATAGGGTAAAATGGCTTCCAGAAATGATTGTGAGATTAATTAGTCCAGTGATATACGAGGTCCAAGAGGATGATCAGGCGTGTTGTCTACATTATCTATTTTCAAGCCAATAAAGTGTACGATTTGAAGTACTTCTGTAGTACCACAGAGTATTTAGTGGATTCACTTTATTCTGTGCTACTACCAGAAGTCCACAAATCCACCTGGAAAATCTCCAGTATCAAACCTCATCAACTATCAATGCAAAAACTAAGTTAAGCCGGGAAGGAAGAATAGTGTTAGTTAGTTTGTATCTTCACCTATTAAAGTGGATACAATGTGCAATAAAATTCATGATCAGGACAAAATACCTTTACTTAGGTGAAGTAACTTGTTTACTAAACAACTACTTACGAAAGTTTAGGGTGCTAAAACACACTTAAGTTTTCTGGACAAATTAATGTACTTTGCTTTTCTTCTTGAATAATGTGCCTAACGATTTTCATTCTCCAGAGTTACTTCACTACTTCCATAATGACTTCCAACGTGAACACACATTCCCCTGGAAGTCACTCGTTTAAGATCACCAAAAATGATTTAGCTTAATGTACAGAATAAATTTTAGCCTCCGGACTCTATTAATCGTGGGTGTTCCCCTCCTATCCACCTTTTAACTAAAAGGTCATCTAAGGTATAATGTCCTGGCTACAATTCATGCTCCAGACTAAAGACCTTTACTACTTCTGGACCTATATTCCCTCAAAAGTAGCTTGTTTACTAGGAAAACATCTGTTCTAGTTTAGCATAATGTGCCGAAACACTTTGTTAGATCAATTGTAGTTATTCATAAACAAAGCTAGTGTGATCAATTTTAAGCCAACACTTTTTCGAATAACTGGACTATAACACTCAATTATAGTATCTTTAAAAGTCGGAACTGAGTAAAACATACATTGAATTTATAGTTATTCTTAGTGAAAATAATAATACTTAGGCTTATAACATATTTTCGTAATCATGAAAACAACAATAGTTTTTTCTAATTAGCTTTTTACTAATTTTAAAGCAATGTCGATTAATATAGTGCATTAAACCATTTATTTTAATAATTAATTGTATACAGTATGTTGTAGCTTATTCAGATGTTGGCTAGTATACGAACCAAAAGTTTTACCGAATCAGCTGATTAGTAAATCCTCCACTCGCATGACGTAGTAGTTTCTTATTGGTTCATTGTCGTCTTATTCTTTTCGTAAGGTACAATATTTTCGTGTTACTACGCGTTAATATTGGTTGTGTGTGTCCGTGTAGTAATTATTATTACATTACGTAAATCTTTCATGATATATAAGTTTCTCTATTCTGTTTTAGTGAGTGTTTAGTGTCAAGTGACATCGGTAAGGTTGATATTTTCCAATGCATCTTTGTTCTGGTGATTACTGCATACTCAGGTTAGTATTTTCAATTACATATTTGTATTTATCAAGGTCACTTTTTGATATATTATTTTAAGGGCACTGCATTGAAATGGTGACTAAGCCTTGAATTAACCGATTTTAAACGTAGCAATGATATTTGGACCTATTCCGTTAATTTACTACTATGTTTTTCAGGTTAAAATATGCTAATTAGCTATAAACCCTGTTTAGGATTTGGTTATATATCTTGGGCTAGGTTAGGGTTAGAACCAATACATCTTAAAACTTTAACCGTGTATTTGTTACTGTACTTACAAATTATAAAGTGGTTGGAAATTCACGAAAAAAATAAATTTTTATTAAATATTGACATATTAGACACGTTAATAAAATAAATGCTCAAGACATATTTTAAGAGCTTTGTTTTTAAATTGGGATCCTGCCTCAAAGAGTCAATAGTGTTATGAAATTATAGATGTTCATAAATAAATAAAAGGCACTTAAATGAAGATACTTGAAGAGAATATTTTTAAGAAAATCATTAGTTAAATAATATTTTATTGCCTATTTTTACGAATAAATATTTAGTTTGTTTAATATTTTTTGATAAAAATTGAATCCTAAAGTTTAAATATTGGTATTTTAAGCAACATTAACCTAAAATCCGTGCTATTTCATCGTCATTCAAAACTAAGGAATTGCGAATAGGTAACTTTTGTGACTAAAATTTTATGGGAACCTTTTGCATCAATATGTTTTTGTTACAAAGTCGATAATTTTATATGAAATAAAAACATAATCAATGACTTGGTACACGAAATAGCTACTTTATCGGCTACTAATGCTATGTATAGACTACCAAAGTAGAGCGTAGATAATTTAAGCTCAGGAATAATAAACACAGTTTTTTTGCAGGTTGCAGTCATACCAAAGGTAAGAATATGTGTGGGATTATGCCTTGTTGTTTTTGACCTTTCGTTTCGTTAGACTTGGAAAGAAAGGAGGTTAGTACATGAATCCAATCTAAATATGGTACAGTTATGACTTTTAGGACAATAGATTATTTGTAAAGTGTCAGCGCCTTATAAAGGTCAGTATTATTTCTTAATATTTTAAAATTATATTTAACTAATTCAAACGTAAACTTACTTTATTGCGCATTAGGACTACGGACTTTTTGCATCCATGATATGGTATATATTATATGGGATATTTTCTTATAGAGTTATTTGAAATTCAAGATAATGAATGGTAGTAAAACAACTTTTTTAACACTTTTAATTATTTTCATTAAATTGGCGACCATACAACGTAGGTATTTTAAGCCTAGTATGAAATATATGAGTATGAATGGAGATGAGTGGTGCAATCTTGTAGTCTTGTTAGTGACTAAGGCCTACATATTTCTTAGACACAGCTGTTAATTAATAGCCCATACAGCTAATGGAAACTAAGGGACCTACAGTTTATAGTGGAGTCCGAGCAACATTTTCGCCTTGGTATTAACGAATTGGTCTAATTACCATAATAGAACTGCGGATACTCGTAGTACTCAATAGTGCCGGTTAGTGCGGACGTTAATCCACACCGGGGAGTGTCGCATCCACAGTGCCAGTACATGCCTATAAATATCCACAATTTGTGATCTCCTAGGAGCTGGATTACAGGACATCACCTAGTCCAGGCGCTAAACGGGTTGAGTATGCACTGAAAGTCTGACAAAATTTGACTTTTGATTATTGTTGGGGACATCTAGTAGATGAAAAAAATCGATGATGTCGCATTTCTAGGGAGGTCACAACTTGGGGGGGAGGGGGGGAAGTTGCGCGGGTCATCGGTTTACGTTTCCGCGTCTAACTCACAAACGGTTAATGATAGAAAGGTGAATTAAGCGTCTATCTACGCCTAAATATATTGTCTTTTAAAAAGGTTATTACAACCTTTCTTCTATCTCTTATACTTTAGGCGCTAATCAACATTTATTGCAAAAAATAAAATTTAAAAATATTTTAAAATGACATTTTGGAAATATTGCGCTTGTTTAGGGCATGTTACAAACTATTTATGGTTATAAAAACTAACAAGTAGTACAACAACACCAAGTTTAAAGAAATCCGTGCAAAAACAACAGAGCTACGTTGATTTCAGTAAGAGTAAACGTGGAAAATTCGTAGTAGTACCGAGGCGCGCATGGATGGTACACGTAGCCCACAGTCAATATAGGTTTGATGTTGTAAGTAACCATGGGAAAGCTGCATTTTTCTATGCTGTTAGACCATGTTGAGATTATCATTTTCCCGAAAGTCATCACTCCTCCCCCCTCGTGCTTTCCTCTAACCCCCCTTTTTAGATAAATTAACAGCCTCTTAACAATTAAGCTATAACTTTAAAACGGGTAAGGATAATAATGCAATATTTTATTAATCATTTTGCGTTACGATAATCTACAAAAAGAATTATTAGATGAATAAATATTTAAAAAGAATTATTATAGATTTCTAAAGAAGAAGAAGAAGAAAATGTGTTAATTGTAATAAAATATCAATACAGTGTTTTTTATTTAAATGCATAGAACAATGGTCAAAGACCGTCTGTTTTGTGTTAGACACACTGATTTTAAAATATTTTAAAGCAGTTTAAAAAATTCCATGAATCACA